CATAAAAGGACTATCGTGAAAAAAGAATTTGAATTTTTTTTTTTTTTTTTTTTTAATTTGGCAAACCTATCATGTCTTTTTATGACAACAAAATGTTACTGATATCAATTTTGGACAATGAGGGGCACTGGAATGTGCAAAACTTTCCCGGGGAAAACTGAAAGTGCTTGAGATATGGAAGACTAAACAGGATGCAGACACCCACACAAAATCCTGCCGGAAGATAGTAAGCTGGAAAAATAAGATTCAACTAGCTGTTGTACCACACCAGATCTTTAGCAAATCCAATTTCTCTGGATAAATTTTGAAAAATAAAACATCAAGGATGTTACAAAAGATGAAGCTTTGAATTTTCTTAACTGTTCATTGGGACTGCTGATTTAAGCAAAGATGAAATATTTCTATTTATTTTGGCTTTTGAAACCAAATATTGAAAGACGACGAGTAGGAATCCATTTGTTCTCATTGTACAATTTCAATTTTTTGTCATTAAGCTTTAATGTAACAAAAAGACATGATCTGCACAGTGTTTATTTCAATGATGATGCAATGTGATGGGTGCACTGCATAATGTCATACACTATCAAAAGATGTGTCCTGGTGTAACCTCCCTTACACGTAGTGAGAAGCCTCTGCAAATACAGAAGACATTTAACAGCTTTGAAGCTGTTACTGGAAAGTTGTCACTTGCTTCAGTAACTCAGTGGGATTTGTGACTACCTAACCTTAGTGGTCCAAGCTGCTCCAATGCTGAGATATGAAACGACGCCTTCATTAGTTTCTGAAAGGCTCATCTTCCTTTTCTTAATTTATGAAGATTTTTGTCACATAAGCACAGTGAAAAGAACTCTACCAAATCGACTTAAGGCCAGTTCTGTGCTCCATCATTTGGGGGCTGACTCAAAGCTGCACTAATTAAACCAGAGTTCCCCAACAGGACTTCTCACTCCATCAGCCAGGGACTCCTGGGTGATGGGGACAGTTCAGTCACACTTTTGCTCTCACTGCACCTCCTGAAACAGGAGTCTGCTGGGCTTAGGGAAATGCTAAACCATCAGTTAAGTTGAACCTGGATTCATCAAAGCTGCTCAAGAGATATAAATTAGCAAAAGCAGAACCTGTAGCTTTGCTTTACTGGTTTTGTAACCCATTTGGGCATTTTTGTTTTCAATATTTCATATAAATTCCAAAAATACTTTGTGTAAATTCCCCCTAAGTTGCACCTTAATAGTTTTAAGAATTAGATCAGCTCTCAGTGCCTTTTTTATAGATATAAGGTGATTGCTCCATACTGTGTGTTTATGAACATTTTATCAGGTAAAGATGGAGCAGAATTAGGAACCCATGAGATTTTAATTCCTTGTTAAGGAAGTGTCACGGCAGACTCTGACAAGAACAGAAAATGTCATAAAACTACACAGAACTAAGCAGTCCTCAAGATAACTTCCAAGTTATAATAAAACCAGAACATAGTACATCTATACATTTCATCACAAAGGCTGCATTTTCTACCATGGTTACAACACAATTTGATTCTGACAACCTGCAATCCTACTTATACCATAGTTTGAATAAAAATTTTAAGAAATGTCCAAAGTCACTACATTATAACTTTAAACCAAGCAAAACAAAACCTAAAGAAACTGCATTGAAAACTTCCTATATTTTAGCTAAGGCTGAGGGGAAAGACGTAAAACATTCAGACCACAGCGCTGGCTGAACTAACAAAAAAATGCACTTGAACAGCTACCTGACCAGAGAGGAGTAGTAAGGGGAACTATGAGCAAATGGTGGTATGAGATTGGGGACTCACCATCAAGCCCCCAGGCACAGATAACAACTTGCTATGTTGGAGAAAGAGCAGAGTAGCCACTGCACAGTATTTCAGAGGTTCACCAAACTGAAATATTTTCATGAAAATGTTGACTTCACTGATACTGAACTCTTCTCCAAAACCAGAAAAGTGTTATTGGAAATTTCTAAATAGGTCTAAGTAGGTCACTGCTGCATAGGCAAACTTAAAAGCTGTCAACCCTATCAATACTGCAGTTAACAGGCACTGCCAGTCTTCATAAATGCCAATCCTACAGAATCTATGTCCCATCAACTTACAGTAATGTGTAACTACACAGAGTAATTTTGTTTTTCCTTTGAGACATAACAGTGAAAACTGATAGTAATGAAATTTCTTTTAACTGAATGTCACTCACCAGGAATTTAACTGACTTATCTTCAAACTTTCTCCACCATAGAAATGGAAAGTCCACTATAATACAAAGGCTATCCCATATGACTTACTCCTCCAAAACGCTTGTCTTCTTACATGCTTGCACAGTACAATCTGAATTGTGTCTTACACTCAGGTTGGAAAATGTATTGGTTAATTCATCCCTACTGATTTTAAAAGTTAATTTGAGTTTTAGTGAACTGTGAATGTGGTTTTTGTTGCTCCAGCATGTATTTCAGTTCTGAAAATACTTCCATTGATCCAGGCTCAAACTATTAGTCACACTCATTTCTGAAACTCAAATACACAAAGAGATAAAGTACAGTGGAAGTGGCAGAAGAGTACAAGCATATACCTAAAATAACAATAAGGTATGTTTAACATTTCCTTTATACTTCCGATAATCACAGAATCATAGAATGGTTTGGGTTGGAAGGGACCTTAAAATCATCTAGTTCCAACTCCCTTGCCATGGGCAGAGACACCTTCACTATATCACTGAAAAAAATCTAAGATTGTTGTTGTTTTGTTAAATTATTTGAAGCATTTTATTTCAAGCTTTGAGAATTTAATTATTCTAAAATGGTTTCTATCTCCCACTGCACCATAAAAAATGGATACGCGTAAACCCAGATGTATGTCCACAAAAAGTAGGCTTGCTGTAGGTATACAACAAGAACTCTTTATGTAAGCTTTCCTTGTCTAAACTGCTCTTGATAAACATTTTACATGCATAAACAGGATAAACTTGAGCTCATATATTCTACAACCATTCTCCTATTTTGAATAGTCCTTGGAATTCTGCATGGACACATGTGCTTGGAATTCATGCAGACACAAATCTCAGGGCAGCATCAAGACCATTGTCTCAATTAAATTACAAAGTTAGAATGTTTAAAAGGAGCTCTGTGCCCAAATTCTGTTGGCCTTGAATAAAAATTAAGCATCTATTTTCTTAATACTGAAAAAAATTCCAGCCTACATTGTTCGATGAAATTTGGAGTCTTCCTATTAACAAATGAATTGTAAACTACCTTAAAATACTAATATACTAACAAAGTAACATATCAGCATACATTAAGCAATTCTCTTAAAAGAACTTGTAAAAACAACCCCAAACTATCTGTAATCAGAGAAATATTTATACATAATTAGCATCCTATTTATTACACATTTTTAAATCAATGTGTTTTAAGGTTTCCACAAAAACGACAGTGCATCAAAATTAAATGGATGATGCTTTATAGTGGATGGAAGACAGGTACACTGAGAAGTATTCATGGGGAACTACCCCACTTATTGCAATATACATCTTATTCTGTATTTATATAGTTAAAAAAAAAAATCTTAATGCATATTAGTCTCTCTTTTGATCTATTGTTCTGGCAGCTTACATTTTTAAATTGCTAATTTGGTCCATACCATAATCCATTTATTTTTTATGCAGAAGTTTTCCAACCAAAGCTGTCCTTTTTCTGCTGCATATTTGCTGGCTTTCCCAGGGAAAAGGTGGGTAGGAACATGCAGAATGGGCTATCTGTATACAGAATCCTTGCTGAAATGTCATCCACGAGAAAACTGTGAGATGAGGTGCAGAACTGCATTATTTTTTAATAATAATATTGTGTACGCCTTAGAGTAACACCACTCTTAAAATAAATTTCTTATTGCAAACATTTTCCCACATTTATAATTGTTTAAATCCCATAAACAAGTTTTCACTGGTCTTCACATAGAAGGTTGCCCAAATTAAGTAAAGCCTTTTACATCAGTTCCAGAATGAGTTAGGCTTTGTTAATGAAGTATTACATTTCTGTCGTACAGATATGTAAGTGATGTAAAAATTGCTGTCAATAGCACCTCGAAGCAAAGGCTGTGTTTTGCCTGCCTTGCTGCTAATCATTGTCTCTCTTCATTATGATACTCCTTCTCCTGTGAACAAAGGCAGAAGAAATTAAGCTCTGCAAGGCTGCTTGGCAGTGTCTGCACTGGCCCATGAAATCGCATTGTTGCCGTTAAGAGTACATCAGACTCTTGAAACATCGAGCCCAGCTCTAGCCCTTGTGGCAGGTGTCCTCTACGGCGCATCGTGCCACCCTCCTCCCCGAAGGGCTCCAGTCGGGATGCTCAGGCCGGGATCCACCTGAGCACACTGCAGCTCCCTCCTGGCCTGTGCAGCCATGGGAAACCCAGCAGAGGAGCAAAGGGGCGAAAGGGACTGGTGTGTGCCTGGGTACCCCTGGGACACCGAGCCGAGAAGTGCCAAGACAGTTCATCTGAATATAGTTCAACTGCACTCCCTTTCCATGGCAAGCCAAACATCTTAAGAAAATACATCCCCCTAGCATTTTGGTTGGTATACTGACTGGGATAACACACCATTTAATCACTACTTTAGATATATGATTTCATATATATGGGCACAGCATAAAACATATTAAGAAGGGATCATTCTATTAGTCACAATGAATAGCATCTTACACTAAAAACACTTCATTCAATCCATCTTTTCAATATTCTGAGGCCCAAATGCAAAGTTCAGAGTCATCTGGAATCCCAAATCTTTAATGAAGACCCTCTTCATCCACCACCAACTTTAACATGCTCAAGGCAACAGAATATGGGTCTGTGAAGCCCTTCCTTATGGTAAAGCTAAGCTCTTAAAATACCACTGTGTTTCACTAATTTTCCTTCACTGGGAATAAGAGCACCAAAAATCAGACCTTTCTACTATTGCCCCCAAACAGAAAAATTACCACGGATTAACCCTTACCTGCCAGCAACAGATTCCAGGGACTTCTACTTGGATATGGGAAGCAGGAACCTTTAAGAAGGGCAAGGAACGAAGGCAACAGCAAAAAAAAAGTTAGGCATCAGAATTTGATTTTAAGGGGAAAAATTGAAAGCAGAGGTTTATGTAAGCGAAGCTCTTCTGATGGCATGATTGAAAATGGAAAGGTGGACAAAATAAACATTTAGAGGAGATGAGGAAGCAAAATTTAGTTTCACTTAATAGTTTGTCTTACTCTGCTGTCCCTGCCACTTGGCACATAAAATGAGGAAATGAAAGTGAAGGGAAGGAAGAATGTTAAACATGATTAAGGATGGCAGAGGAAGGTGACACATGGCTTGGACGACTGGAATATCTTAGCGATACACCTAAAACAATGAGAAAGATTGTTTAACTGCAGGGTTTGGAATGACCCATGTCAAAGTCAGGGACCACACTCTGTAGTGGTACACAGGACACCAACGACACCCCCCCTCCTTGCCTCGGTAGCACTGCAATCGCAGAATCACCATCATAAAAAGATCACTTTTCTTTCTGGAAAATGGCTTTTCAGAGCATGTTTTATAACTGTTTCAGACTTAAAACACATCTTCTCAAAATATTTTTTTCTTTTTCCTCTCTATTATTCTTTGGTTATATTTAGAGAATTCATGTTGTACAACCTGATAGTAGTAAAAATGAGCCCTTCTAAGACGGTATATTTCTGCCAAATATTTTCTCTGCAATTTTCAACATCTCTACATCAAAAAAAGTCCACAAAATACTCATATGACTGTTTTTGAATATTTATGGAATTCTGTTATCATAACTACTAAACTATATCTGCTTTTAAAACATTTGTACAACTCTGTCTTGTTTACTATATAACCTCTACAATTTCACACGCTTTCAATCTTTTAACTTATGAAATGTCAGACTAAGTTTAGCTTAAAAGCATTATTTTACAATATACTTATCTACAGTTCATGTCTGGATGTCTGTAAATTCAAGGGATATTGTTACATTTGGGGAATCTGGAAGAGCTATATTTTATAAGACTGGTTTTTGTTCAGTATTATGATTCTGTATTTTAGAAAGTGCTTTCTAACCACACTCCCACAGGACTCTCCTATCAAACAACATTTTCCAAAGTATTTGATATGCCAGATACATCCCTGGAAGTTTTCACATTTCATATTGGACTACTCTAATTAAATATTTTGTTTAGAATGGCCCATGACATAAGTCTCAGAGTGCTGATGGTTTAGGACTCAAATTATGACCTTGAATAGATAATTATAAGCCTAACTACAAGCAAACAAGAACAATGGTTGTGCTTTAATTTTCTAGCATTCTGGAACGTAAAAAGGTATTTTCTAATAAGCTGAAAAAGGAGAAAAGATCTGCCTACCCCTGGGACTGAAACAAGTGTACCTTAAGATACACAAATGCCCCTTAGTAAATTAATAAGGGAAAACTTTGAAGACCTTTAAGGGTTGTTTCATTTATTATAGCATTCAATATGTTTGGATCTACCTATATGAAACATTGCACATATTATACACAAGAATTGCATGAATCTGTCTGTGCCTCAAGGTTGCTTTTGCAGGAAAGGATATTCCAATTATACCTTTGGGACACACTAAGGAGTGCGGAGGAGATACAAGGAGGAATCAGTGTTCTAAGACAGTAAAACAAATTAACCTTCATGGCAGAAAAAACAAAAAACCACCCCTACAACCTGTTCCTGATAGTTTTCAGGAAGCTCAGGCAGCAGGTACACCAATGCCACATTGAAATCTCAAAGGGGAGTCCCAAGGAAAATAAGCTTGTGACAGAAAATTGGCAACTGATTTTTCATTCTAATAACAGGTATTCAAATGGAAAAGAAGAGAAAAAGCAAACATTGCCAATATTTTGGCATTTGTAGGAGTCATCCAAAAAAAGCGTATCTAGGTTCTCTACAGCTTTAACCTGAGAAAAAAATGCACATTAATGCTGCAAAGGAGCTGACACTTTTCATCTGCAGCCCACTCAGCCAAGGAACATCCACTTATATACCCTCATGCATTATTCACCAGGAAAACTGAAACAATCTACCAGTGGTTAAGTAGCTCAAATGCAAATCAAGGGAAAGCAGTTAAGAACGAGGATCATTCACAACTCCTGACACTCCTCCACACTGCAAGCCCGGAGTCTCCTGTAGGAACCGCACAAATCGTTACAACCCCAGTCCCAGTGGCTGCAGGTGCTTGGTGCAACTGAGCCTGCAAATCAGCCTGTTTCTGTAGTGATGGCAAAATCACAGAATCATAGAACTGCTTCTGTTGGCAGGGACCTTAAAGATCATCTAGTTCCAACCCCCTGCCATGTGCAGGTTCATCTTCCACCAGCCCAGGTTGCCCAAAGCCCCGTCCAACCTGGCCTTGAACCCTTCCAGGGAGGGGGCAGCCACAGCTTCTCTGGGCAGCCTGTGCCAGGGCCTCACCCCCCTCACAGGGAAGAATTTCTTCCTTAGATCTAACCTGAATCTCCCCTCTGTCAGTTTAAAACCATTCCTCCTGATCCTATCCCTATGCTCCCTGATCAAGAGTCCCTCCCCCCTTTCCTGTAGCCCCTTTCATTCCTGGCAGGCCTCTCTAAGGTCTCCCCAGAGCCTTCTCCAGCTGAACCCCCCCAACTCTCTCAGCCTGTCCTCACAGGGGGGTGCTCCAGCCCCCCCGAGCATCTTCGTGGCCTCCTTTGGCCCCACTCGAGCAGGTCCGTGTCCTTCTGCTGTTGGTGCCCCCAGAGCTGGACCCAGCACTGCAGGGGGGTCTCCCAAGAGTGGAGCAGAGGGGGAGAATCCCCCCCCTCGCCCTGCTGCCCACACTGCTCTGGGTGCAGCCCAGTACAGGGGTGGCTTTCTGGGCTGCCAGCGCACATTGCTGGCTCACAGTCAGTTTTCCATCCACCAGTACCCCCAAATCCTTCTCCTTGGGGCTGCTCTCCAGCCACTCCTCACCCAGACTGGACTTATGCTTGGGATTTCTCCAACCAATGGGTAGGACCTTGCACTTGGCCTTGTTGAACTCCATGAGGTTCACACAGTCCCACCTCTCCAGCCTATCCAGGTCCCTCTGGATGGCACATCCCTTCCCTCCAGCCTGTCGACTGCACCACACAGCTCGGTGTTGTTGGCAAACTTGCTGAGGGTGCACTCAATTCCACTGTCCATGTCGCCAACCAAGATGTCAAACAGCACCGGTCCCAACACCAGCCCTGAGGAACGACACTTGTCACTGCTCTCCACTTGGACATCCAGCCGCTGAACCACAACTCTGAGTGCAACCATCCAGCCAATTCCTTATCCACTGAGTGGTCCATCCATCAAATCCATGTCTCTCCAATTTAGAGACAAAGGTGTCATGTGGGGCAGAGTCAAAAGCTTTGCACAAGTCCAGGTAGATGACATCAGCTGCTCTTCCCTTATCCACCAGTGCTGTAACTCCGTTAGACAAAATTTGTCCTTAGTGAAGCCATGTTGGCTGTCACCAATCACCTCCTTTTTTTCCATGCCCTAGTATAGTTTTCAGGAGGAAAAAAACACTGACCTGTGCCCATGCTTTGAAAAGGAACTTGTTTTATTTGTATTCAAGTAGATTCTCTCTCCCTGTCAACAAAGGTGGGTTATTTGGCACATACCTGAGAATTTTTTAATTAAAAGCCTGTGTTTACTGTAGCACTGATCACAATTATATTCATTCTGTATCCAACTATGAAACTTCAGACATACAGTAGTCAAACATAGAAACAAATTTAAAGTTACCTAAAGAATTTTTCCAATGATGGAAGAAATTATTGCTGTCACCACCTTCATTTTCAATAATAAGATTCAACGGGAATCACCTCAGACCATGATTTACAACAATTATCTTGTTATCTTTAGGAGTATACAACAGTAAACATTAAGATCACAAACAATAAATTTCTTTTAAAATCACAGTGAGAAACTAAAAGCTCAGTTAGCCATTAAGAAGTTATACAACATTACTTACAAGCTAATGTGAACAGCAGAGGCATGCATAATTTGTGCAAGTTTATATAAATTACCCTGGACAAATTTTCTGTGAAATCTACATAAACCTTATGTTATGAAGCACTTCCATGCATCCGAATATATTATCATCAGCTCTTACTCAGGCAGTTGTAAACTCCATGCATTAATGTTCTTTATCAGAATTTAATAGCTTTAACTCTTCTGGTTTTAAGGACAATCATTATGCTGCTTGTATTCAGGCAATGCAATTTTTCCCTACATATTGTACACAGCAGGAGAGGGTTCAATTCAATGGACACTGATGTTTATTTTTCAGAGAAGACATTTGCAAGAAAAAAAAAAAGCTAGATTTAATCAGTTATTTCAACAATGGGTTGAACCCAAAAATTCTGTTGGCAACCCTGACCTGATCTCATGAAATCACCAACTGACAAATTACAACAGAAAACATTCTTGTCATAACCATGAAATTAAAAAGTGTATAATAATGAAGAAAAAAATCAAATATGCCTCACTCTAGGTGGCAAAAAAATTCCATTAAGGTCATATATATTTTCAGTCCTTTCAGATATATAGTTGACTGTCAGAAAGCCTAAAATACGAAAAAAAAAATAAAAATCCTAAATGTCAGATATTCTAGGTACAATGAGAAAAATATGCTGTTGACATAGATAATCAGACCAATAACCACTTCCACCTAGAATTCAAGATGAAATATTGTTTCAATAAGAATTTGACTAGTATCTTGGCCAGTATCACACACTTTTTAAATGGTTGGAAAGACTACTGACATAAACCACTATATTAGCAGCTTATTTTCCTCTAATTTTATTTCCCTTCACAGATTTTCAGTAATACTTGCTCTTTTAGATCTGCCAGAGTAACATGTGGAGTGTGACAGCTACAGTGTATTGTAGTGATTGTGTAGTGGCAACACACCACTTAATCAAGGGAAACAGGACCCCAAGACAGAGAGAATAGGGTTAGGTTCTCACTTGATGAAAATTGCAAAGAC